GAAGCCAGATTGGAGGGGGTCGAAAAGGTTGTTTGTCATGAGGTGGTTATGTAACTGAAGTGTGACAGCACGTTCTAGAATTTTTGCAAGTTGGGAAACAACAGATAGCTAAAAGGTTGGGAATTCTTTTTTGTGATGTGTTTCTCTGTGCACATGATGACAGTGTAGGTGTATGAAGTATTGCTACAAGCTGTGAGATCCTAGTTAATGGATTAAACAATTTTTTGTGTATTTTGGATGACCATATTTGCAGGCTTAAGAAATTACATGCCAATTATAAAAAACAAAACTGCTGATTAACTCTGTTTTACTTCAATTGGTGCAACCAATTGTAAAAAAATTCTGAAAGGCTCATCATGGTTGTGGTAGTTTTTTTTTTTAAATTAATGGCTTATCTATCCCAGTAGACCTACTTGATATGAAGTTGCAATGATGCCCAATGTTCAAACATGAGCAATTTTAAAAGTAGGAAGAAAATTAAGTTACACTGTGGGCTTCTACTACTTGGAAGCCTAAAAATAATTTCACTTATCAGGCCATCACAGTACCTCCTGCCTCAACTGCTGTGAAGGTGGTGAGTTAAATATTTTTACTGCTGTTTTCAGTCTGCAGAAATGAAACAGACATGCCATCACAGGTTGTGGGGTAAGTATATAATCATAATGACCACGACAGGAAAAGTTGACACAAATGAAAAGGTATTTGGTCATACCCTACGGACATTCAAGGCCAAAACTTTTTTTCTTCTCATGCAATTCAGTAACAGCTGAAGCTTTTAAAAACTTTGTGATTGCAACCCCAAATACATTTTTCAAAGTCATTTGCCAAAATGTGACCACAGTCCTATTTCACCACCACACAGGTTTAACATTATGTTTTCTTGCAAACTAGAAGAGAGAAAAAATGTATTGAAAATGTGTTTCATTTCAAACTGAAGCACACTGTAAAATGTCAAATTGTCAACAGAAGAAAAAATCACTACTGCATGCTTTTCAAATAAGTATCTACTGAATTATTGCTGATGTGCTCATCGCATATGACCAAAATTGATCTGTTTTTTCAGCATTACAGATTCATTTTAAACTTTTCATTTAATAAACATAATGAACAATAAAGTTCCCTAACCTAATCAACCCATTCAACCCAAGAAGACAGGGTTTAGGTTCAGGTAATTTTTCCATACATGTACTCAGCTGTGGTCAGGGGAGAATGATAAGATGCACAATAGACCCAGACTGTTGAATTTCTGTCTGCTCCTGCCTTGTACCAGCCAAAAAGTTTTAAAGTTGAGACACAAAGTTTATAAAAGCATAACACAAAATCTCAATGTGGACAGATACAAGCAAAATAGTACCACAGTGGGATTGCTGGTAAGCCAGATTGTACAAAGTTAATTAAGGTTGTCTTTTTCTCATTTTTATATAAGGGAAATTCAAGTCACTAATAAAAGAAGACAAAGGTTTTCCCTTTTAAACATGTTTCCCACTAATCTTCTTGCAATAAAGTTGGATTGTGCAGTGATAGTAAAACTATTCATACTAAAACACATAAGTAAAATAAGCAAAATGAACAAAATATTTCAATTCATGAATGCCAAATACAATACAGGAAAAAATATCATTTTTTAAAATAAATGTAACCAATACTGAAATAGAAATGACCTGAAAACATATTTGGCTAATAATGTGCACCCATAGTGTATGCTAGTGTATGAATTAAGATTCATCAAATAATTAAGACCTGTGGTAGAATACAAGAGTACCACACAATGCATCTGACTAGTAGTAATTTAAATGCCCACAAATTATTATATCTAACCTAGAAACAAATCTGTCCCTCTGATATTCAAAATAAATAAACACATGCAGATATGAAATATTATTTCTGTGCCAATTGTCAGCATGTAAGATGGTAGGCATTGCAAATGTATACGAAAGACTATTTGAAACTTTAAGAAACAGCTATCTGCATTAACATATCCTTTAGATCAATACTCATAGAAACACTTTCAGATCTTTCGTCTGTAGGTTGTATCTGCAGAAATACCTCCATACTGTAGAATAAATATTTTCAACTTCTATGTGCCTGTACTGTGGAGCCCTATCCAGGTGTAGAATTTCACTACTATGTGGAAACCTCCCTGTGAAATGTAAATGTCTCACCTAGTTGTCTGACAAGTTATGCGGTTCCTCAGTCCTTGAAAACGATGGCCTTTCTTAGGAGTTAAGAGAAAATACAGCTCTAAGTATTTCCTAAGTAAAGAATAACTAAGTGATCTAGAAAATTCACAAAGCTAAGAAGAGCAAAGCTTGGGTGAGGCAACAAAAGAATGGTCCACAGAGTATATGTTCGTATATTTAATGATACAGCAAATGAAGATCTGAACAATGTTTAGGCATTTTATTAAAATATTTAGCACACAAATTCCCATTACTCCCACTGTACTTAATATCCAAAAGTACCAGGCAGTTAAGAGATTACAGGTTTACACAACACAGAATTTGGATAATCTTCCAAATTCAAATAGATTTCTGGTGTTATTGACTCTTTGGTTTTTTATCAGGCCGAAGAAAGAACATTTAGACATTATGCGTGAAAAGGGTTTTAAATTAGAAACTTTTTACATCTTCTCAAATTGCCACAATACAAATTGCTATAAGGCCAGAATGAAGAGGCTAAAAAAACAACAGGAAAGATTAAAGACATAGCATGAGGATCTCTGCTGCATGGTTTGCAGGATACTGTGTGGTATGGAAATGTTATAAGAGGAGCAATACACTTACCTTCTACAAAGTCACTTTCTGTGTAGGCTTGCTTCTGCACAGGCATGCCATCTTCTTCCTGTCCATCTTCCTCATCCGGGTTGTTGATGACCTCAAGGCCCGCCTCGATGACCTCCTGCAGTTCGTCCCGACGGTCCTTGCGCACTGGTTTCTCCTCCGGGTGCCTGGTCAAGCCCATCTCCAGCTGGTAGACCTTGGTGGCAGTGAAGCTCTCGAAGGGGATAGCAGCATACTCGCTGGGCAGTCTGGCTCCCGTGCTAACCTCGGCCTTGTCAATCTGTGAGTGGAGGTATTCCAGGAGGTCATTGGGCTCCTGGTCTTTGTTCCCTGTGTGGCCTTGGCCCCCTGTGCCTTTCTTATCCTGCAGGGACTTAAGCTTCTCGCTCATTTCCTGGAGCTCCTGCTTCAGCTGAGCGATCTGCCTCTTGAGACTGGCTGCTCTATTGAGATGGCGCTCCTCTTGTTCCTGAAGCAAGGCCTGGTAGTACTCTTTGCCATAGGGCTCGGCCCCGAGACCTGGCAGGGCTGAGCTGACATCTGGAGGGGGGGCGCATTCCAGAAAATAGGTGAGCAGCATCAGGCTGAACAGGAGAACAATCCCCATTAGCAGCCAGCGCATTCGGCCCTGCAGGGTCAAGCCTCTTCTAGGCATGGTAAATAGGTCTTAATTGTATGGATTAGCAACTAACATCATCTCCATGGGATGCCAGCTACCTGCACAATGGCAAAATTCTACTGGACTAGTGGACTTCTGAAGTGCTTCTGCAGCCACAGAGACTGAGAATCACTATGAAGTCACACCATCAAATGGTGAATAAAAAGGGATTGGAATCCGAGGTCAATCACAGCACTTCACTCAGCTAAAGAATGTTCTGTTCATTTTATCCAACTGTGGTAAACTCCAAGATTAATCATTTCTTATATAGAGAAGAAGAACTGAGCTCATTAGAACATAGGTAAGGATACAAATTAGAGGAAGGCTGTTGGAATCGTATAAAGGTAGTGTGGTAGTCCATTTGCAATACAATGAAATACTATAAAAATGCAAAAGCAACTGAGCCACATGTGGACAGCTTTTCCATATTTATAAGGTAATTATATTAAAATAGCTTTATTTTAAAATGAAAGACCGTGATTTCACGTTCAATTCTGCACACTTTATCACTCCAAAAATATATTTTTTGATAACACGTAACAGAAATTGTGCAATTTAAAAAATATTGCCTATAAAGGCATTAGGTTCTTTCAAATACAACCCAATATTGTTTCAGTTGCATAATGGAAAGAGTAAAAGCCTCAGAGCTGGCAGAGGAAACTATCAGATTCCAAATGACCTCATTTGAATTCTGTTCCTGAAAACAGTTTAGGGTGCTTAGAATTTGTGACAGTTTTATTGCAGCAGTCACTGAGCAACAGTAACATTATGAAGTCCATGCAGTCCTACGTCCTCAGGCAGAAAATCAAAGATGCAACCTAAGAACAAAAAAGTGTAGATTAACATTTTGGATTTTTAAGTTTTCAAACATTTCCAACAATATACAATACCACACTGTTCCACCTCCTGAACTTCCATGACACTTGCAAAATGTTGCACAATATATTAAAAAAAGGTTATCCTAAAGTTTTGACTCTGTTTTAATATAGTTTTATTATACATTGTACAATGTACTTTTAACATTATATATTTAATGTACAAATAGAGAGGATACATAAAGTCTGGCCTTAATCTAAGGTGCTGAATATGGACTTCCTTCCTTTATTATAATAAGACATGTTATTTCAACAGTAGAAGGAAAAATGGCAACATTCCTGTTACTATTAATGTCAAATTATGTGAGCCATCATGTATTAGGGGAAGCTGTAGCTCAAAAGTTGCTTATATCACTACATGATCATGTTTTTTGGTCGCTACTCTACTACTGCACTAGCCTTAATATTTTGAAATATGCTACAGTGCATCAGGCAAACTAATTCGGAAGAATCTAAAAAAAACTAATTACATCAAAATTGCAACAGAATAATTTTTAGCACATAAGGGTTATTTTGGATCTGCTACCAAGCCTTTAAAATAGGACTTTAATACTTTATTAGTTGGTAGTGATATAACACTAAGGAGAAATGTGTTTTTCATATGATTCAGAAAGCAAAAAGGCTCACAAACCGAAAGGTATCATCAGTATCATAAAGAAACAAACATCAAAATACTCCTGTATAACATATAAAGACCATGCTTTCCAACCGATGCTAAGGTCTGACCACTTAGATCAATTCCTTTGGCTTACATTACACATTAGTCTTTACACTGTACCCATTTTTCTATACAAAACTAAAACTGTGGCATCATTAACCCCCTTTGCCTACAGTACCTGTTGAGTTGGGCAACTGATGTCCACATCTCAGTCATTAATTCAACATTGCGGAAAGCACCTGTCTGGTATGTCTCAGTCCTAAGACCTAGAAGACGATACCTCAGCTGGATTGGCACATTTTCTTCAGACTCTTACATACAAAGTTCTTCGCTGCCAAAGGCTTCTGGCTTAGCAAGTCCCACATAGGAAAAGTTGTGAATTGCTGTCTTCATTAGCCTGGTCTTGCCAAACACTGTCTTTTGTGAATAAACCTGATGACAGCAACGTTTGCTGAAGAACTAGAACTAGAACAGTTATGGGCACACAAACAGTGGACAAGTGTGTAATGGCATACTGAAAGATAATGTGAAAATGAACATTAGAAATTAGTTTTTTTTCCCCAAAAAAAGCATTAGACGTCAAAGTCCACCTCACTTTGCTTTGGCATGATGCCTCTGAGCAGCTTAATTTCACAGTCCATGGTTTTTGAAGCTTCTGTTATTTCCAGTCTTGGCATTTCGAGACAGTGAAAGAAGATTTTCCTTTTCTTCTAAACTGCAGAAACTATTCTGTGGCAGGTGCTAGTGGGTTTAAAAACACATGAAAAATCCATTATCCAGTTGTAGCACGTCTTGGCAGTGTTGTAAAATGTAATTTTATGCTCAATTCTCCTTTTGTTCTACAACAGCCATAATTACTGTCGCTCTAAGAATAGGGCTGGAAAAAGTCATTTTAGCCATGTCATTGAAAAGTGTTTAATGAAATGAACAAAATGTTTAAAACAACATAAGGCAATATAAATCATAAGAAACCAGTAAAAGTGCAGTGCTTTCTGCAGTATTCTTTTTCACTGCTGTCCAGGTGTTAACAAGGGCAGATAATTCATTGTGTAGTAGTACATCTATGTTGTATGACTTGTTTCTTCATGCCAGTAACAATTAACTAGAAAAGGCCAGGTTTAGGTCCAATTATTTCTCTTTTGTAAATTGTTTAATGATCTTGAAACATATTCATTTCACCCACAGACCTCTAGGCATTTAAATATACTATATAAACATGCATACTTGAAAAGAATGTCACCATTGTTATTATACCTCGTTACTGTGAAAACCCACAGCCCCACTCAACAACTCTTCCAGCTGTGACAGTATAGAAAACAAATTGAAGACATTCTTACAACAAAAATCAGATGTGTACCTTACAGAAAAAAAAAGTGGCAGAATGGGGGTGGCTATGCCACAAACAGACACACCCGAGATTGAGGAAGATATTTCTTGTAATAGAGATTCACAGACATGAGAACTTAGACATGCAAACTCTCTGTACATGGTCAATCAGCCAGTTCATCCCAGGATGTTGTTGTTGGGACTGAGTGGGCAGCACTGAGGAGTAGTAGTCAGGGCTCCAGATTGGAGGATCTCTGGTGGATTGCTGCTGAGGAAGATTCCTCATTCACTAATTGCTCCAACAAATACACTGATATGTTTCAGGTTGACATTGTAAATTAATATTTATTCTTAATGGACATACCTTGGTAAAACGATTTGTAAAAAAAAAAGGCTTGCAGACTCATTAAGACTTCATGGTGGAGAATCCTTCCTCTATTATAAACCAGATACGTTTGCTACCTTGATAAAAATCTAATTTCATCCCTGTAATGGACCCCACCTTCACTTGACTGATACCACTATGGTCTGAGCCTGTTATATTTAAATGCAATTTTCTACATGTGAGTGTATATCCTGTGCTGTGTCTGAAGAATGTTGTTAAGTAGTTCTTTGGAAGGACTTCTCAATATGCAGATACGTCAAGTTCAATGAAGGGCATTGTTATTCTGAGACATCCTTTGGTGACTGAGGGAATTTTCTGCCATGCATATTGTACTACTGAGACAATGGGAGCCAAGAGAAAAGAGACACGGACAGTCAATCTTTATCAATAGACTACTTAAAGTTTTTTAACAGAGCTTTTTTTCTTACCCGATACATAATTTACAAAATGTATCTCTGGAAACTAATCCTTGGAGTACAATATTGACATGTTTTGGAATTTCCAGTCTTTGTTAAATCCAAGATGGAGTGCACATTTGCTGGAAACATCACTGGAAACTGAAATACACATTGCAAATGTTCAGATTACAGTGTTGGAACCTGCATATATCAGCAAGATGCTTTTTTGTTTAGTTGAACAGCAAATTAGTAATGCATCTATCATGTTCCTAGAGCTTAGATCAGGATCTCCCCCCCCAAAAAAAAAAAAAATCTACAAATAAATGCAATGAGCAGTTGTATAGTCTACCTTCAGAACTCTGGAAAGAACACCAATCTGAGTTTAGCAGATTCATGCCCATTAACTTTGACAACTGGGACAAACTGCAACAGCCTCAAGTCTCTTTGGTGAATAAGAGCCTGTTAGTATATTATAAGAGTATAGCACTGCTACAGTATACTCCAAAGTTCATAAAATGGTTCTTTCAATTTTCTTCATCTACTAGAAACCCAGTTTTTGATATATGTTTTGGTGTTATTTAGACAGTGTCATCATAGCAATGCAGACAAAACAAAGAATACCTTTTTTTAATTCTTACTAAATAGCATTCGTATAAATGAATCAACTGTATGTTTAAAAACCATCATTAATAATATACTGTATGTGACTTTCTTTTTAGACTAAGTCACTATAAATACAGCATAAAAAAACATTACTTTATTCCCTAACTAGTTGGTTCTTCTACCCACAGGTATCTTGCTGGTGGTTTCAGCAATTTTCAATCGCCACCTCCAGATTTAACACTTTCATTTTAAAGTAAAAGGACAGGGTGGGAGGATGCGGGCTCTGCTCTCGGGATAAAAGAATTTATCGAACAAGAAGAGAAAAACAAAAGTAAAACATGTATTTTGATTTAACAGGGCTGATCATTAAAATTAAATTAAAATGTCCACTCTACCCTTTCTCCGGAGAACCATAGAATTCAACTGTTAGTTCCTCTACTGGTTTCTCTTATTATTTCAATTCTATGCACTACATAATTGTACATTACAAATAGCAAGTTAAAATCGTAACAATCACTAGACACTCTACAAGAGATCCAAGCTATCGGTGCTTGAAACTTAGATAAACAATTTCGTGGTGTGCATTATTAGAGTTGATCCTACTTGCTTTCCAGAGATTCACTTTAACTTATTCAAAAACTGTTTAGTTTGTGTGGTCAGAGGATGCGGTACCAGTGGCTAACTAATCCCTTTCCTGAACCACGCACCTTGACACTATTCTGACGTGGTCAACAATACCATTCCAAAGTTTGCAATGGTGTTTGTTTTTTACTTCCACTTAATGTTTTAAAAAACAAGTTTTCTATAAGAAAGTCAGATAGCTATTTATTTATATACGTAGTCATTTAATTAACTGCTGTAATAAAGTATCTATTTCACTAAATAGGACCATAGGAATATTAGTGTCGTTTCGGACATGACATATTTCAGCGGAATTAAAAGTAAAAAACAACGAAACATTACTTCCCCTTATGCCCGTACTAACATATTAAGTACAGGCATCTGCCGTTACTCTATAACGTACAACCTTTTATCGTGACTCAAGACTTTATAGAAGTGAATGTGAACTAATCCTCCCAAGCACCGCTGACTGCTGATCCTCCCAGTAAAAACGTTTTTCTGTCTTTAATCTCGACAGAGGCATTAGCTAAAAAACGCATCAGAAAATGGCGATACACCACTCACTACTTACCCAAAATCAAGAACTGGTCGCTAAGCAGAAATATTTTGCAGCCAGTGCTGATGACAGTAAAATTAAAGTCTTCATAAAATCTGATACTGAAGCCGAATACTGTGAAAATAGCGTCTCTGCAAACAGCATACACTAGAAATACAGGCTAAGTACTTCCTGTCTGTATCTGGAAATGAGTCAGAGAAGCTCTTAAAGGAACAACGTATTCGATACAACGTCGCTTAGTTTCTTTTCTGGCTGACTGTTACACAAATATAGCAATACATATATAACTGTTTACCTGAAAATTTCCGCAGCATGGAAATCACATATTGGTTTATTTTTATTTTAGCAAACGAGGAAAAGCAATATAACGCTTCAATTGAGAACGACCCATCTTTCATTTAAGACAAAAAATAAGCTAGGACACACAGATGAATACTAACACAAGAACGAATTGGTTATTGTGTCACAAATTTCACGTTTTTGTTATATAAACCATGAATGAAACCTCGTCATAATATATACAATGCCATTATGTCCATTTATTTCATGAACTGTAAATGAAATGCACAATATTGAAATATAATTACTTGTAGTACAATTGTATTAGTTCGTGTCTACTGGTAGTGTTCTTATTCATGCAGTGCAGTAAAACTGTGAAAAATAAAAAACGGTATTATTACACAAAATTAAATGTCTTAATCATCATTTTGTGGTTCCCAGACAGTACAGAAAAAAAAAACTGCAGGTTTGTTTTAATCAGATTCCATGTCAGGATTGTGTGACATCCTAGTAGGATGAGGCCTGCCAGGTCCATCTAGTGTATGTTCAGAGGGCTACTTATTCCTGGCAAGGGTTGAGGTACACAGAGGCCTGATACTGTAGCACAGAGTGCAAAGCAGGCCTGCATCCTGGAAGGGACACCAGTCCATCACAGGGCACACAAAGGAAAAAGCACAGGGACAGTTTAGAGACAACTGCTCTTATTGGCACTACTTTGGCGAATGGTGAGTGATGCCACTTTGTATACCACCTACGTATACGTAATGTGTATATCTGGGATTTTCTTTATGTTATTCTTTTTATTTAAACATTTAATCATATCTAAACTATATGTTCTGTCATTGTGGGAACATACTGAAACTGTTTTCAGCCACATGTCTTATAGAAAAGGAATGACATACTTGGAAAGAGGAAAATGAATGATAATCTATGTTGGAATAATGGGTTGTGGGAGTATGGAACAAGCCTCGTTGTTGAAGCTGATACCGTGGTTTCTTACAAGAAACTACAGAATGAGATCCTTGGATTATTTTACTCAGTAACTACCACGTAGGGTAAATGCATTGGATAGCCTCCCAGTAACCTTTCATATGTCCTTATGTCTATTCAAGGTATTCGAAGAGAAGAAGGACAGGAATAGTCTGTATTGGTGACTGTCAGTTGGTAACTCTTTAAGTAATCATGTGCAGGCAGTGTAAACATCTTTAAACCTTGTGTGTGAATGGTTTGTATCCAGTATCCATATATCCCTTTCTTGTTCCACTGGTGTCAGGTCTGGCATTCTTTAACCATCCTGCAAATTCATTGTTGAGCCCGTTAATGCGATTGCCTGAAATGTAATCACATGCATATACTGTACAGTACATACTGTAATCAGGCAATACCATAATCATGAAACCTACTGTAGGTTAAGGTGAGACAGAACTATGATTTGAATACATAATAGTATTGCAACAAATTAAATATTTTTAGATTTTCAGATATACCAGATCAAGATATACTTGATCAGTGCATTGAAAATGTATGATGCTACCCTAGAAAGCATGGATTGATAAAATACCCTGTATTATTGCATAGAATGGCTTTTTTTCCTTTCACACTATATTTCCTTATACACTGTATGTTCTTTCTGCTTTGAACTTTGTAAAATATTTTATCAGTGTTATATCTACAGTATACAGTATATTTAAGCGTTGCTGTATTTGAATGAAAAACATACACTCTGTGTATTGTTTTCTTTTTTTCTTCTTGTATTTTATGCAGTATTGCACTGGTATTTTCAGACACCCTCAGAAACATTTAAAAATAATTATGATTTCAGGTTCATAAACTTTGTATTTTTAGAACTTCCCTCTTTGGAAGAAATTTCTATCATACTTGGAGTTTCTTTAAAGCTTTAAAGCTAAAATAATACTTTGCTAAATATAAAAACTCCACCCTGTCTTCAAGTCATCCAAATCCTCCAATCTTCACCAAGGTGCCCTTTGTTTCATATAATGTAATTCTTACTTACAAGTGAGTGTTAATCAAGTCTTGATCTTGTCTGAGATCTGTCTTATCAGTCAGGGTTGTAGTTTAGTTCTGTTTTGCTGTTTTTCCTACTTTTGTGGTATACAGAGACAAGATGTAGATACATTTATAGAGAACACTTCACCCCTTGATAGATAAAACAAATTATGAATTAAAGCTGTAAAAAACATTTTGTGTGATTCATATAATTTTTTAAAATTTAATTACAAATTCAGGTCAAAATATACAGCCAGGACATTTCATTTTTTCAAACTATAAATTCCTGTTCCCCACAGAAAGAACAATTACTGATAAAATACATCACTGATATCATGTTAAACTATATACTGCAATTATGTAAAGTATTATACAGGTATACAAGACAAAGCTGTACCAATATTTAGATAGCAATTAATTCACTGATCTGTTAAACAGTCAGATTGTTTCTTTATTTTATACCTTTTATTTTATTTAGAAGGTGACAGTTGCATTTTTAAAATAATGTTGTTAAATATATATATCTTGCTTTTTAGTTCTTTTAAGATTCTTTAAGATGTTTTTTTTTTTGCCCCAGGTTAACTTCTCTTTTTAACAAGACTTTGGAAAAGAAATTTACTTCACAGCATGTTACTGTTTTTTAATCAGTCAAGTGGGTATTTTATATTTTGCTTGGCTATTTTGAATATTTCATAGTCTGAGAATTGCACAAAGTACATTTAGCAATTTACAAAAACAAAAGTATAAACCACAAACAGACATAAACACAGGGTTTGTCACAAAGATGCCTTGTATAAACTAGCAGCGATTAATGGTTTGCACTTACCGTATACTGTATATGAAATGAACTTTTGACTTGCATGAAAAAGCTTCAAGATTGGAGAAGTCACATTTCTCCTCCTATATTTTCTCTGCTTATTACACTGCTAGTATACGAAAAAATCAAAAGTGTTTTTTTCTCTGGAAAATAATACTTACACCTAACAGCAGAGTAATATGGAATATAATTACAGCTGTATCTGCAAAGCTCCTAGACGCTGCAATTAATTGAGGTGGACTGACTACTTTTTTAAGAAGGTGTATATAGGGTTGTGTCAAAAAGAAAAATAAGGGTATCAATTTGAAGTAAAAAAATCTGAAAGCCTAGACATAATTATTGTAAATATACCATTTAATGTGCACTGTGTCTACTTTCGGTCTGTATTTTGTCAACTGCAATACTAAACACAAAAATATGAAATAATACATGAAACTAGAACACAAGCCTTTAAATGATATGTTACTTGAGTTTTTCCTTTTTGTTCCTGAGTTTTTCTTTGCTAATGTTCCTTCTAGTTATTACTGTAGGTAAAAAAAGGAAATAAATAGCTGTCTGTAATGCACAACACTATTTAGTTTCAGATGCATGTTTTAACATTATTAAAAATGTCAGAAAGCTGTGGACTATAGCAGCACTTTGTGTTTAATTTTGCATCTGGATCTTGTATGGTATGATATAGACTGCAGATCTCACCCTTGATACTGAACGCTCAGGTGTTCTCACCCCTGATATTCCTGGAGGAATATACAGTACTGTATGTCTTCCGGTTTGGTCCAGGTGGTTCTGATCCAGCTAAAGTTCTAAGCACAGGTTAATTGATTTTAGTTTTGTATTTGGGGTATATCTATAAATTTGCATTCAGCTCTGTACCTGTACTAATTTCTGAGATTTGAAGTTTTCAGAACATCTCTCAATGAAGTGTGTTGAAATGACTGGACTCTGCAAAAGGACAAAATGATCTTTGTGGGAGTTTTTGGTCGTCATACATTCTGAAATAATGGCAAGCAAGATGGAAAGCAGCTGGAAAGCTGGCAATAATATACATTTCCAGTAAATAAAAAAAATGATATAAATTATTTTTTCATCACTGATATAAAAGGTTTGGGAATATGACATGATATGAATATAAATTATAATTACATAAATTCAACATGTTAAATCTTGTCATTTGAGCACTCTTCAGGTTTAGAAACATTTTTAATATAAATGTTTAACGGTGTCATATTAATCCCTTGATTTTTATATTCTTCTGCCACCAAGTGGAAAAAACTGCATACTGTAGCTGTGTGGCAAACAGAGATCTGCAGAAGGTTGAGTGAATTTTTTCTCATTAAGACAGGTCAGTGATACCTGATAAACATTTTTAAAAGACACATTTCTACAACACCGTTAAGTACTAACCATTATTAGCGGAGTGAATAAAATAGGCCTGTGTAAAAAAATGTTTTGTGAAATGTGTCTAAAGTTTCCAGCAAAGTTAATGCTGGAATAAAAACAAAAACAGCTTAAAAAAATGAATGTATACTTTTATCCCATCACAGTACCCTTAAACAAAATTTATTTATTACAGAATGGAAAAGACAAACTTCAAACAAAATCTTCTCTACTCCATTACTTGAATAAAGGTACTGTGAAAGAAACAACTCAGCATAGTACAGTTCTCTTTTAATAAATGCTGACTACAGGTCACAGGTAGTCACAACAGTGCCACAGGTACTGTACATTTACACGACTAAGTGTAAATCTAGCATATGTGAAGTTATTTCAAAATCCATTCAGTAACCTAGGTAATAAAATATTTTAGCACACACTATTAACATAAGCAGTTACTGTAGATTGCTATTATGATCATTCAGCTGAAATTAAAACTGGCACTCTTATTCTGAAACCATACTGGTCCCAGAGGTCAAAATGTTTTTTTTCACCCTCCTTCAAGTAGTGAACCATTTCCAGTGCTCCTCATTGTGTTATCAAATGGATTGTAAGTTGAAATCCTCCTTTCATTTTGATTGTAGACTTCTCTGTTTATACTCTGTAGGCTTCAGAGTTTAGTACACCTGCATAAAACATAAGCATCTTCTAAAAACACTGGCAAATACTAACTCTAATTAGCCACTAAAAACTGCCAGCTGTAGTACTGCTACAGACAGCAATTAATTTAGAGAACTAATATGCATAACTAATAATGCATATTAGTAAACAAGCTTTTAATTCTTAACAACACTGGCTCACTGAACTTAAATAACAACAAACTAACAGCTATTGTTTATTCATTAGAGCAATGAGCCTTACTTAAGCCTTATAGACAAAGGTCTCTCCAGTTCATGAAGATAAGGTTTTTTAATCATACCCTTATTTTATGAATTTTTCAAATGTCTGGATAAATGAATTGGTTCAATTTTAACCCAAAAGCTAGGTAGACTACAAACAGCACTAAACAATAATACTCTGTTATGGGAAAGCAAAGGCCTGGGTATAACATTATTTGTATTTTTTTTTAAAATTAATCTTCATAGAACTAGATTTGTTATTTGCTTTAAGGGAAAGGTGGAGTTGGTAACTGCATAAAGGGAAAGGTGGAATTGGTAACTACTAATTGTTAAACAAATCTTTTAACTAATTGAAATGTCCCAAATTTATGGAAATTATTACCGTGATTTCATTAACATCAGGTTGTGATCATTTTAAGTGCAACACTGTGCAAGGAAAATGACTGATTTGGTCCTTTATGTCACAATGTTTCTAGGACAACTATGTTGAAAGCATGCTGAAATCACTGGACTTCATGTCCACAAACTGGACTTTCCACAAACAGCTCTATGATGTATTTAAAACCTGTAGCAACACACTGTTGAATTAAATTCAGTTTTAAAGACAAATGTGTTTCTGAATTTCATGAATAACTATGTATATTAATCACATAACAGCAGAAAATCCTGGAGATCCTGGAGGTTATTCCTCCAGAATTCCATGAATTGATTAAATATTTTCACTCAGGAAAGGTGGATATTTATGTACTGTAGCCTACCATGTATAAAAAACTTCTGACTATCTATTGTTTTCAAATTACACTGTGAAAGTTTGTGCAAAAATAAATTTGGTGTTACAACGAAAAATAAGTCTTTCAGTTACAATTAATCACATTTTCAGGTCTAAGATTTAATATAATGATAACTAATAAAAACCAAAAACAATCAAATTATGAAATGAGTTCTCTTAAATGTCTGTACTAGGACACAAGTACATGCAACAAAAAGTGTAGATCCTTTAAATCTACAATATAATGTAAGATTCCCAGGTAAAATATCATAAGAATTAGAAATGGTAGAGATCTCCTATTTATCTTTTAATACTATGTAAAATCATGGATAAAATACAAAGTGGTACAAAAATGGTGCATTATGTACAAAATAAAATTGCCAGTTAAAATAAACACATCTAATACGTAATTCTGAATACACATTTGGCTTCATGTCCTTTAATAGTAACATACTCTAATGTAAATTACTACCAGAAAGTACTTAAAGAAAAAGTATTTTTCTGAGGGAAAATAAATAAAACACAGTGTACAGTGTTATACAGTATATACTATATACAGTTTTCATTATGTACAGTATGTACGTGAAACAAGTGTTACTATTCTTATGTCTGAATGAACAAAACTACAAGATAGAAACAATTTTTTTTAATAGCTTGACTGATTATCTTCATAAATACAATAACACAATTTGTATCCTGAACCCTTGCATCAATTTTCACATAAAAGTGCCATTTAAATAAGCTTTTTGTTTGAATTAATTTACATTGGTAGATTTTGCCATCCAGAATCCATGTTGGCTGAGCTATTTTGAGAATCCATCCATCCTCTGTCCATTCACACTCATATGTATACACCAGGTGATTATAAAGTAGTCCCTTTTTATTTCTATAAAATACGTATGAATGAGCTACGTATGGGGCTATCACCACAGCAATCGAAAGACACTGTAACATTGACATACCACTTTTAAATAGTCATGCAATGACATAATGTGACCTCAAGGTAATGAATAACATACCAAACAGCTGCATGAAGCATGTCCCATGAAATGATAGCAATTTTGCAATGAATAGCCTCCTTGAACCCTCCGATTTCAGTGGATTAACTTGGTATACCCACGCTTAAAGCTACAGAAATAAAAAGGGACAGACTTCAGCATCACATAGTATATAGAGCTATATATAAATATACACATATACATACTTTTGAGATGGTTTACTCTGTTTTAGCTATCAAACTTGTCCATAAATTTTGCCGTTGAAGGCGAAACCATCCAGTTTGCATAAACACTATCATTTGCATATCTTGTAAAGACAGGGTTAGTGCCATCAAGTCTGGTGAGCAGTACGGGGCTCTTCTCTGGCCAGTTCGGGTAAGACATGCCTAAAAACGAAAACAGATAATTTTTTCTGCACTGATGAATCAAAATGTTAGAGTGCAGACAGTAAGACTCTCAAAGAAACCTTGGCTTTGGTGAACCTCATTAATTAAAGGTGACTCTGAAACAGCAGTATATTATTTGCTTTGTAATATTACTATAAAACTTATCTAACTACGAGACTCACTTTTTTATGACTTATTCTGGTTTATACATTTGTTTTGCTTTTGTTTATAGTCTTTCTAAATGAGTTACAATAGGCAACTATCAACAAGAAATGAGCTGTGAAGTAAAAGGAATGTTCCAGTGCCTGTGTATCAGAAAAAACCTTGGCCACCAAATAAACACAGATTTTAATTTAATGTAGTGTAAGCTGGTGTACCAGCTTAATGGTGAACTTCATTAGATTTCATTTTTAAGAAAATATTTACTTAGTGCAAATATTTGGTAGGTACTGTATGTAAACAATGAACAAGCAAAAGATTACAGCAAGCCTAGAGAAAAAAGAAAGGTAGAATTCTGATGAGAAACAAAAGCTGTTGGATATTTCAAAATACAGGAACGGTTGTTTTTTGTTAAGGTCAGATAGACATGGACAATTAAACTAAAGAAAACATTTTCTAGAAGTCAAGAAAAACAATATAATCCATCCATCCTTTTCTAACTGCTTCATCCAATTCAGGATCACTGGGGGGAGCCAGAGCCTATCCCGGCAATCAACAGGCGCGAGGCAGGGTACACCCTGGATGGGACACCAGTCCATCACAGGGCACACACAGACACAGACACAGACACACATACAGACTGACACCCGGGCCAATTTTCCCACAAGCCAATTAACCTGCCAATATGTCTTTGGACTGTGGGAGTAAACTGGAGCAACCATGCAAATACAAAGAGAACATCAACACCATGCAGAGAGAACACCGGGTCTGGAATTGAACCCAAGGCCCCAGTGCTGTGAGGCAGCAATGATAACCATTGCTCACCATGCCAACCCAAATAATATAATATACAATAAAAATGCAGTTTTAATTAAATATTCTGTTTAAAAAGTACTGGATAAGAATGCATATTAGATAAGATCAATACAAGTTTCTTTTTTTCTTTATTAATAATTATTTTTGTATCATGATCTTATGATTAACAAAAAATAATGAGAGATTATGAAACATTTTCCGAGTTTTAAACCAAAGGACTCTGCATGTCTCACAAAGGGTTTTACTGTATGAATTCAACAAGAAACACCTTAGTCAAGGATAAGTAAAGCAAATTTAGGTTAAAAAATGATTAGATTGATGATTGCGAAGCAAGGCAAATGCAAGTGAATTAAATATTCAATATTTAATTGTAGGAATATAGTTAAATGAAAATGAAGAAAAGACTACTTTGTGCCAGAGCAAATACCACACAGCCACTATGAGAAAGCACAATGATAAAGACAAATGCACAAAGTATGCCATGCACATAATACTGCTGATGTGAAAACTGTACATACAGTATAAGTTAATGTCTCCACTTCCATTCATTGCTGTGGATTTTTAACAGGCATTGATTTGTTCATAGCCATAATCTGTGTTGTTCTACTACATAGAAAACAACAAGTCATGAAATTATCAATTATTTCTCAAGCATAAAATGTTCCAGGGTTATTTTCCTGTCAAGGAAGATAATCAATCAAATTATAGAATGATATATAATTTCTGTTGGAACATTTTTACAGTGTTTTAAAACTTTTTAGCTATGCGTGTACTGTACCTTGCTACATGTGTCTTCTATTGGACCAGTCTAAAATGTCACCAAAGCTGGAGCCCAATTTGAAAGCCTTATTGTTTTCCCCATCAGCACTACAGAAGCCCTCTGCATATTAAATTCGAATTTCTACATTTCTGTCTTGCGCACAGTACAAATTACAGACAATTGGAACAGTTGATTAGCCCTCACCTATTTACAGAGTGTGATCATATCACAGATCTCAACTGAGAGGACCTGATGCAAATGTAAACTCGTCTCGCTCAACAGGCGACTCAAAATGGCTAAGAGAGCACTTTTCGAATTACAGTATTACTTTAGTTTACACTGCATGCTGTTTTTACTTCTATTATATTGAATGAAAAACATTTTCAATGCTTTCATATTTACAGTATTACCTGAAAAGCCAACATAAAGCTTTTTTTGTCAGAATAATTGTTGCAAGAGTAACAAATAAAAATTCACAATTAACAAGTAATAGTGCATTTTTAGCTCTATTTGTGGACTCAAGCAAAACAGGAAACATATCTGCTGTCCACACAGTAATAAATCTAAAGTATATTTAAAATGACATTCCAGAGAGAGCCCACTTTGGGTGGCGACTCTTCGGATAGCCATCATAAAAAGTAAATCCAATATGAAATTCCTCACCTAGTTTACTTCTGAAGCAGGTCCAGATCTGCCAAAAGGAAATCTAAGCCTTGCGCTCAGTTTGTTGGACATTTTCTTTCATAGATTTCCAGAAAGCTTGACCATAGTCACAGACAGACTACAAAAAAGCCAATCACGGCAGAAAAAAAGTAACTTTTAAACTGAGTTTTAGAATCTAGTAAATGCATGTGAAATTCTACCATAGAGCTTGTTCTCAATCCATGTGGAGGGGAGTGTGCGAGGGAGGGGAGCATTATTACAGTCCACAAGAGGGGTGTCCTCTTCAGAAAGACCGTCGTCATACAGCAGGGAGTCTGCGGGGGTGGAGGCAGCCAAGTCAAGGTAATCCTGCCACGGGCAGAAGGGAAAAGAACAGCATAAGGAACATGGCTGAGATAACAAGGGCTGTATGTTATTGGAATGAATCAAATCTGAAGTTCATACTTCTCATTCCCTCAACATTGCTGAGAGGTCCTAAAGGGCTATTATGGAACAATGTTATTCTGAACTCTTCCTGTTTCTTCTTGCTGAACTACAATGCACTTAAGATATAACAGTAACACACAATAACATTTCAGCCCTTAAATCCCCACAAGATATAATAATTAATGTATATGTGCACAATAAATAACAGATGTACTATTTAGATATTCACCTTTAAATGCCAGTATGATCAATATTTTTCTACTTATCAAGCTAAAATCGTCTCCTTGTTTTGAGCAGAGATATGATTTTTCTACGCCGGAAACACTCATGATTGAATAAACTGCTTTAGGTTTTCAAGCTCTCATAAAGGGAATATCCTTTTTAAGGAAATACTTTAACTAATACTTAAAATAGAATTGTTTCTGGTAACCTGAACAGAGATGCTCTTCTAAGAACACTACCTCTGAACATTTGCAGTAGAAAAGAAAACTGTAAAATTGTTTGAGAGGGTTTCAAGTAAACTGTTTGTTGCCTTAATGTATGGCCTCTAATTCATAGGATCAACCAAGGAATTGCAAAAAGGACAGTCTTTCCCAGGAATCTATTTTGATGCTAGAAAGATAGAACCATCTGACTCCATTCAGATTCATCTCCCATTCTTTAAACACCGATAGTGCTCAATTCACTCTTCTGCTGGTTCTGTTGGTTTATCCCACTCTTATCTCCTTCATACTCCCCCAAAACTGATAGAACAGTGTATGACAAAAGCTCCAAATGATCTGAAATTATACGAATTTATAACTAAATGGGTAAATGAGCGACATGAAGTATTTTAAAAGTAAGGGCTTCCACACAGGTGAGACTTGTGTTAATTATGTAAATAACAATCCGTCATGCTTAGGGTCAGTATAAAAATGCTGGGCAGATGTAGTTGCCTAACAATTACAGCTACCATGGCTGCAAGAGGAGATCTTCGGGACTTTGAAAGAGGGGTGATTACGGAGACCCTTTTGGCAGGATCTGTAGTGACCATGACAGCTCAACTTGCTGATGTTTCATAAGCACTGATATCTAAGGTGATGTCAGTATGAAAATTCCAAGAAAAACTGCAGTTTTCAACCTAGGCTTGAACAGCCAGTTTAATCAAAAACTGCCAGGTGCTACACACAGCGTGATACTCTAGTGGGGTTGCAGTGCACAAACTGCAATCTGGCAAGGCATGTTTTTCAGTCTAGTGGTGCAAAGAGCGCAGGCAATGGTCTACCAAGCAGTGGAGTAATATTATGTGGTTACATAAATCATCTTTCACCATAGTCTTGTCAAATGAAAACGTGTATGTGTAGCATCAACCTAACAATCTCTACTGCCCTAAGTGCTTGGTTTCAAAAGTGAAGGGTTCTTGTGGTTCCATAAGAGCACACTTACTGACATGGTTTGGGTTTACTAATTTCTTCAGAATGTAAGGTAAATGCTAAAAAGTGTTTAATGGTTAATGAGTGATCATCTCTACCCCCATTCTGCACCACCTCTACTTATTATTAATTTTTGGCTATCTGAATGTTGAGTGTAAAATCTTTGGAATTGTTCTGATCATTGATATTCAGCATTTCATTCTTGCCTGGAGGGGTGTCTTTTTGGGATAACAAAGTCAGCATCCAAAGAGCATGTGTGGTTGCCCAGTAGTTTGATGAGTATGACACTGATGTTATCTACATGTCATGGCCTTCTCAGTCAAATGGATCTAAATCCATTTGAGCATTTACTGGATATTCTGGAATGACCAGCTTCAACAAAGAGTTGACTGACTTTGTTGCTGAAGAATGTTGGTACATCCCTTTTGCAAAACTCCAGTCATGGGCAAACTAATGGCCACAGTAAATACAGGGCACTCTTGGTGGCCCAACACCCTATTAATTACTTTACATTTGTGTTTTAGTTTTTTGTCCACTACTTGTGCTTTATTACTGAATACTGAATGTGTATAGTTTGTCTAAACAAACGTTTGTCTAAGAACTTGTATTCTGATATGGATTTTGTTACAATTTTTTAATTCAGAGTAATACGTTTTGTATATTATCACAATAACTCAGTTTAGTACTATAAAGGCAGCTATGAAAAAATTCTGCCCCCTGAAAGTGTATGCTAGGCTCTTACTCTGCTCTTCACCATCATCTTTTCAAGCTCTTTACTGATTTCTGAAAATGTTGGCCTCTTCTCTGGCTCTTGTTTCCAACAGCGGAGCATCAGATTATACCTGTGGGAATATAGAAATGACTAGTTAGGAGTTTTCAGGTCAGAATGTGTGACTTTCAAACTATTAAAACACTATTGTTTTAGTACTTTGGGCCTTCAACAGGGCCCTTTACACTTTACATTTCTTTTTATTTTGATGGAAAATAAATTACAATTAATGATTTAGAAGAGAAAGTTAACCAGGCAAAGAAAGTAAAATTATATGACATTAAGCAATTTATCCCTCCATTTTCTAACCACTATATCCAATATACTGTAGGGTCATGGGGAGCTGGAGTCTATCCAGGCAAACAACAGACATAATGAAGGATACAACCTGGATGGGAAGCCAGTCCATTGCAGGGCACACAGAGACAAACATAGAAATGCACAAACTCACACTAGGGTTTATTTTTCCAGGAGCCATTTAATCTACCAGTATGTCTTTAGACTGAACATACAAACACCATGAAGATAACGTTCCAGGAATTGAACCCAGGGCCCTAGCACTGAGAGGTAACAATGCTAACCACTGCACCACTGTGCCACCCACACAGAACACCGTACTTCCACAAACAAGACTAGTGCTGGACTGCTAAACAACTTAAATGAGAAGATGCAAATAAAAAAATGGTATTCTTTTAACCATTCTCAGAAAAAAAGTGCAAATACTCCATGCTTCCTCCAAGCCTGCAATGAATGATATGTAAACAAAACAAAAGATTTTTGATATACCTACAGTGTATGTTATAATCAGGCCCAAGGCAATGCTTAGGAAGCTACAGGTTATTTCCTTTAGCATGTTAAGGTTCTCTTGTGCAATACCAATCTCAAGGACCTTATTGAATTAATTTAACACCATTCTAAGCCATAATAAAACTTGATTGCCTTAATAATGTTTCCAGGACTACAGCCTGTAGTAAAAAGAAAAAATAAAATAAAATAAAATAAAATAAAAATAACTCTACTTTATCAAAGACTATGGATTTAACTAATTTCCTAACACATAACAAAATAGGTTATAAAAAGACCCGGAGGCAGCCAAATGGATTAGCTTATACCATACGCATATTCTTGATCTAAAAGAAAAAGGCTTCTGAAGAAAGACTTCTTAATATTAGTCTATATTAAGTGTGTACTGAGAGCAGATTAGTGACACACGGTGCTAAGATACCCTTTGTAATAAAAAGTATCCGACGCCTGCAAATTTTCCCATTATATTTCCCCATATTCTTTATGTCTTAGCCTTTATAATTGCTATGAAAGCTGCCTTCGTGAGCAAAATCTCCAGAACGAGAAATAGCCAAAGGCACCACATCTTTAGCATTCTGTGAGAGAAAACACACATTTCTTCACTGCAGTTCTCGGGCTTCTCCATCCTGTAGCCTGTCTTAAGGAGGTTGAAGAGACGCTCTGGAGCGATTCCAGGGTATGGATTTCCTCCCAAGGTCACAATCTCCCACAGGAGAACACCGAACGACCATCTGCAAAATAAAAGATGACGCCATTGAGAGGACATTAGTCTGTTCAGCTTTATTCTGTAACATTGGGGTTACAGAATGTAACCGGTTTCGCCAGTGTAAGACCTTGCCAAAATTTCCCATTGGCCCTTACCAATCATGGCCTCCTAATAATCCCCATCTATAAATTGGCTTCATTACTCGGCTCTCCACCCCACTAATAGCTGATGTGTGGTGAGCGTTCTGGCGCACTATGGCTGCTGTCGCATCATCCAGGTGGATGCTGCACGTTGGTGGTGGTGGAGGGGAGTCCCCATTACCTGTAAAGCGCTTTATGTGGAGTGTCCAGAAAAGCGCTATATAAGTGTAAGCAATTATTATTTGTATTACTTTATTCAATAAGAATGGTATTATTCCAATGAATTTACCCATTGTTGTTATTATTATTGCCCACATTGCTTATTATTAATCAACAAACAGGATTAAATGCAAAACAAAATAGAATGGGTACGTGGATGACTTTGTAGATGACATTTTTTTATTTTCTCCAATACTGCAATGCAGTAGTATGCATCAGTTTATTACAATGTAAAAAGGTTACTTTAAGACATTATTTTAGTCTACTGTAAGTCTTTGTAAATCTCATAATTTTCTAATATATTCAACATGTAAATCCTTTGTTAATAAACAGCACAACACAGTGTTCAAATGGGACTTTAAGTCATTTCAGAACTTTGTACATGGGTAGAGTACTTACACATCACTTTGCGTTGTGTAAATATGATCAAATAGGGACTCAATTGCCATCCATTTCACTGGAATTCGACCCTGAAGAGAGAATAAGATTACAAATTAAAGTTAACTAAATTGAATAAAAATGTAATTCCTTTAAGTAATAAAGTTTTTAACCTTAATACTATACTTGATACTACTATAACAGGGCTTTTTGAAGTGGTTAATTTGTCTTCATTGGGGCATGTCGGTCAGTTCTTTTTTATGCTATTTTCCTGTTAAAAATAAACATTTATTTCCTTATGTTTAATTCAAAATACAGTAAGACATTGTCACTAGCTATATATTTGTGTAACACACAAATCTGTAATATTCCTATATTTTTAAAAACTGCCATCCTATATTTTTAAAACTTATTCTCCACTGTCCCATTAATGTTCTTAACTTATCTTAAAACAAGGAGAACTGATTTTTTAGAGCTTTTAATACGGCATCTAAATCTGCAGAATTTACTCCTACTCAACATCAACTGAGAATGGTGCTTTAGAATAATCAGCTGTTATATCTGCATATACTGTATGTGTGTGGGGGTGTTCAGTGAAGCACCTGATGTGTTATATGGAAAATATAGCTATAGCTGTGGCTGAAAGAAGTGTTTGAGAGAAATAAGGTAGTGTTACCTTGCTTCTCTTTACATAGGAGTCCTCCTCATAAACATCCCGTGACAATCCAAAATCTGAGATCTTCATTTTACGCCCTTCTGCGACTAAGACATTTCGTGCAGCTAGGTCGCGATGAACAAGCTTTTAAAGACAAAACAAATGGTAAAAAGTTAAATTCAAGAAAGGAAACACAGCCACCCCAATTATTTTCTCACATCTTCAAGTCATAAAACAAATGGGTACTGTAAACTTTAATGTCCTAGGAACCTAGGACCATTGGAGAGTCTAGAACAGGAATGTCCTATCCAGGTCCTAATTGGAAACTATTAAATTGGTCAGATTAAGCCAATAATTGGCTAAATGTAGACTGTTAAGAGTTGAGCTCGAATAAAAACTTGCAGACACACTGGCTCTCCTGGACTAGGACTGGACACCCCTGGTCTAGAAGAACTAGCCCTTTATTCTGTTGTAGTTTTCTTATATCTTGCAATTAAACTGATATTAACACAGACGTTTTACATCACTCAATGTTGCCAGTGTAATCAACATGATCTTTAGCCATACAGCAGACATTTATGCTTACGAGTGCAAAATCATTTTTCAAATGCAATTTTTAACATTAAATCTGTTTGTGATGAATGTATTCTGTATTTCAGTAAGTCTGCAACTACAAGACATGAGTGCCCTGTTCTATGAAACTTCAGTAGCTCAAAGCCATACTTTCATTTCAGCCAGGTACTGCATTCCCCTGGAGATCTGCCAGGCAAAGGAGATGAGGTCGCCCATAGTCAGTGCCCTCTCATCAGGGTTTTCAAGGTAGCTTGAGTTCCGGTTGGCATCACTGCCCATGTAGCTGGGCCCGACCTTGCGACTTTCTCTCAGGAAATTTCTCAGCGATCCATATTTAGCATATTCTACTATCAAGTACAGGGGACCTGGGGGGAGAAAAATTCAAATTGTAACCACCTGTTAAAAGTAACAGGAATGCTGTATACTGTACAATGCATTTGTGCTACACAATAAACTGGATTGATATTCATTCACTCACACCATATTCTAACACACCAACAATGCCAAATACTGTATGTTGAGCAGTAGTTACCCAGAGATGAAGCCATTTAACAAAATGATAACACCTGATATAAATGCCTATTTTATTCTGGTGCTGATAAGGACACAAAAATGTCTTTGATAATTATGTATTCATACTCAATTTTTTAGCTGATTTCTGCTAATTAAACTTTAGAATAATTTTCTAATGTGAACATACTATATTATTTACAGAGCCTGTTGTATACAAGTCAAATGAGTGGAATAATACAGAAA